GTAGAGTGAAATTGTGACTGTTACCAATTGAACATAGATTCATAGTTTTTAATCCCTCCAGCTCCTTGATAGTAGAACTCGACTACATGATGGTTAGTTACAAAAATCGCTTAAATCCACCTGTGTGGCCTTTATAACCCCTCTACATACTACTACAATTAATTCTCAATTCACTTTGAATTTGATTCGGTAGCCAAGTGGTCTGGCATATGCACTTTAGATTAAAAGGTCTGAAATTGAGCCGAAGATGTGGTTTACAACCCTACTACCTGCTGATCTGTTTGGTGCAGAAAAGTAGGACGTTAAACCACATTTCAACTACAATAATTTCTCAGTTTGTGTTTATGGAATTTGATTGGGTGGCAGAGTGATCTAATTTGTAGACTTTAGATCATAAGGTCTGTCATTGAGTTGAGGGGTGTGGTTTTGATCCGAGAATAAGTTTTTCTGCCTACCTTTGTGAGTTACTCCTGGCCCACTGGTTTCCTCCCATGAAAATATACTATTCAAAAAAAGTAGGGGATATTTGATTTGTAAGTGTTATTAAAGTCACCTTATGAAACTGACGAAGAAACAAATGACAAAATGAAATGAAGTTCACATTCATCGATTTATTCCAAATGATCGTTAGACTAAGTAAGGCACAGACTGACCATTATAAGGGTAAAATGATACCCGGGGTCAAACAGCAAAGTTACCACAGCATCACAACCAAGTCAGTAACGGGTAAATCCTCCTCTGTTTGCCAAACAAGCATTGATCAGACGTGGCATACTCCTAATGAGACGTTTAAGGTCATTTTGGTCCAGATTGTCCCATTCCTGTTGCAACGCAGCAGCAAGTTCTTGGACATTGGCAGGACGTTGTTGACGTTGACGTAACCTCTGTCCAAGCATGTCCCAGACATGCTCGATGGGGGAGAGGTCGGGACTCAGTGCTGGCCAAGGTAATGTGGTGATGTTCTGTTGTTGGAGGTAACCTGTAACGATCCTGGCCCTGTGACATCTTGCGTTGTCATCCTGGAAGATGAAACGGCGGCCATGACGTCGTGCGAACGGCACAACATGGACTGCCAAGATGTTGTCCCGGTAGTACTGGCCTGTAACACGCCCTGCAACAACATGTAAAGCCGTTCTTCCAGTAACAGTGATGCCTCCCCACACCATAACAGAACCACCCCCAAATCGATCATGTCTGATGACGTTAACGTCTTGGAAGCGCTCGTTTCGACGACGCCACACCCTCCTACGTCTGTCCAAAAAATCAACAGTGAACCTTGACTCATCTGAAAACATCACATTGCTCCAGCGTCGATTATCCCAGTGTTGACGATCCCTACACCAACGACGTCTTGCCTGAATGTGATGATCTCTCAAACAAGGGATCACGCGAGGACGTCGGGCGCGAAGGTGACCCCTATGCAGTCGATTCCGAATCGTCTGGCCACTCATTCTCACACCAGTGTCTGTTTGAAGACGAGCGCTGATCTGATTTGCTGTGATGACACGATTTCTCAAGGCCAAGGTACGGATAAATCGATCCTGGGCTTGAGTTGTCGCCCTTGGTCGACCTGAGCGTGGTCTGTCTTGTACAGATTGTGTATCACGGTATCTGGACCATAGCCTGCTTATGACAGACTGAGAAACATTCATCGTCCGCGCCACAACCGCCTGTGTTGTGCCGATCTGTAGCATGCCAAGGGCACGTAACCTTTCATTTTGGGTGAGCCGACGCATATCAAAATTTGTTTTCTGGTCACTAAAACAATTAAACTGATGTTTCCACCCTGGAATTCAATGCCACAATGACTGTAACATTCAAAGTCAGAGTCGTGCAAATCTTGGGTTGGACCCCCATGATGATCCCAAGCATCACCTGCATTCCATGCGGTAGCTATTGGTGCGTTTGGGCGTCACATGTAACTGGAAATGTTTCTTCTGTTAGGTTCTATAGTGATTTTTTTCGTAGTCATTTGCATATTTTAGTATTATGCCCCCAAAATCAAATATCCCCTACTTTTTTTGAATAGTATATAAGATCTCTGCATATAAATGAAATGAAATGGGGTTTAATGTTCTATTGTTCTACTCCAACAGAGCTAATGGCGACAGGCATGCACCGTACAATGTGCTATGAGGGAAATTTTGCCCGGACAGAGGCATTATGGCCTCCTCTTATATCGAATTTGGGGGTTGGATGGCAGAATGGTTAGCACGTGCGCGCAATATCATAAGGTCTGTCATTGAGTCAACTGCCGTGGTTTCAATTCCCTGGTTGTACGTGACAAGGAGTAGGGTCGCTGGGTCCTCCGGTTTGCTCCCTCTGCTAAAGACACCTATGCACACGAAATTATCTAGTTTGTGCCGAGTGGACATTAAACCCTATTTCTCTCTCTCTCTCTCTCTCTCTCTCTCTCTCCCCCCAACATAGGGTCTCCCTGTTTATTGAGCTGGTGCCCTACCCACTGAGTAACCAAGACTCCATATACACTTGGGACTGGATCAATCAGGTCTAAAATAGCAGAGTTTGAATTTCTATAATCCTTTGCTGTGTTGTACCTTTCAACTTAGGTTCCATCTGATATTTTATCAAAGATTAAAAACCCATTTAAAATCAATCAAACTACTCCTACTCTGCGTCTAATAAATGTCTATTCCGCGGCTAGAGAGAATTTTAATCCTGTATTTTACACCGAGAGTGTTGCGATATGTATGATAATGACGGGATTAGTTGAAGTGTTATTTCTGTAAAATAAACCACTGGGATTATTTACAATGTCGACTTATTTTACGCTATGTTTACGTCAGATGTTACAAGACGGGAATAATGCTACAATAGGAGGACATGGCTGTGTCGAGTCCTGTTGTACTAGTCTACATTGTTTGGTGTCAATCAAGATAAAGATACAATAGGTGAATGGTGTATATTTGGGCCACGGATCCTATTTGATATATTCTCTTGTTATATTTACTCTAGTTTCAATGTACAGGTGAAACCAGGGAATCACACTAAATGAAAACTCTATTAAAAATCTTATTAAAAATCTCTCTTTTAAACATTTTGATGCCAGAATTCTTTAGATATATATCTTTCCATGAGAATATTCTTAGTTCAAACATGGTTATAAATATTGAGATGAAGACCATACATAAACAAACGTATGTTTATATTCATTCATTCAGAAGAAATATGGAATTGTAAAAAAACAAATTCTTTGTCACAAACCATTCTAAATTGGTCATAAATTTTTCTGAAATCTGCAGAAAGCACATTATTTGTCCTAAATCATTCTAAACTCTGCACAAAGCGCATTATTTTTCATAAGTAATTTTTAACTCGGCTGAAAGACTAAAAACATTATTTGTTATAAATAATTCTAAACTCAACAGAAAGGTAACACTTAGCATTCCACAGGATACTTGAAGTAAATTATTATGTATTTGAAAGAGGACAACGTTTAACTTTTCTGTACTTGGAATTCCTTCATATGATGTGTGAATAAATGTTAGGTTTAAGATAATATTATACCAACATTTGTACATATTGATTTCACTTAAATATAGTGATATTCACCATATAGTTGGTAAATACTGATTGTTACATATCTAAATATATAATTGCATATTTGAAGAGATAATTGCATATTTGGGTGATATAATTGCATATTTGGATGATATAATTGGATATTTGGATGATATAATTGGATATTTGGATGATATAATTAGATATTTGGATGATATAATTGTATATTTGAACATATAATTCCATATTAAACATGAATATCTGCATCTATCACAAGCCATTTGGTTGGAATTCTAGTGCTATAACCATATATAATTGCATATCTAAAAATATCATTGCATATATTGTCTGTTAGACGGAGTCAAACTTGTTTTTTCAAGAGATTTTTAAGGTTGGTTTTTTTTTTAAACATTTGATCACAAAGAATGAAACATTTACATCGAGTTCTTTGATTTTGATTGGATTAGACCTATCTTCAGACCTGTGGCTATCATTATACAAGACTATAGTCCCTATCAATTAGTAAAATAAACAATTTATATATGCTAGACAAAGATTAAACATTGTTTAATTTTTAACAAAAAAACATAAAATACAATGTTTTTAATCTCTTTTCTTCTCTTTCACACTTCATCGATTTCTCTTTCACACTTCACTGATTTCATTAATCCAAGGAGTTCTGGATTAATCATGCTGTTGTTTTTGTGGGTGGAGCCTAATTAGGTGATTTTGTTTTTTTTAGTACCTAAAGGAATCTCCAGATAAGAGCCAGAATACAAAATAACATAACTGGCAAGATGTTCGATTTATAAGGACTTTTTTATTTTTGTGTTTTTACCAATTTTTAACCCTTTAAGTGTAAAATAATTTAATTAAAATCAACCTGTTCATAATATCATGTTTATTGGACATTAAATCTGTAATAAACAACAACAACAACAATATTTACATTGAAATAAAACATTTTGGGGAACAAATCATTGACGATTATGACTATTTCTTTCACATTCAGTGGGCTAAATCCATTAGATCTTAGTAAAGATACAAAATTTGAACAGGTTGACCATGATTTTTGTGAAATAAATCATTTTTAAAATCAAATCAGTAAATGATGTGCCATTGATTTTTTACAGTATTTTCTAATTAAAAATTCCTGAATTTGACCAGGTTGACCACCCATTTTTTTTAAAGTTAATTCTTTTTGAGACATAGTCTTTGCTATTTTGATAGTAAATTCTTTTTTTCTAATTAGAAATTCCCAAATTTGACCAGATTGACCCCAGGTCTAAGTGGGGATTAAGGAAGAAAGGGGGATGTGCTCTTCACACCTGAGAATATGTTACTCCCTGTCCAGCAGTAAAAGTAGGAGGAGCTTTATTGGTCATTGAGAGTGATTAATGACAGTTTACTGGGGACATTAACACCTCATCTGTCAATCAACTTCTTACCCGTGGGCGGAGCTAAGTTGATGCCAATCAACCTATCAGACGTGTTTATTTAATGGTCTGGTGTTGATTGACAGACAGTTTTTATTTGATGTTGTGAGTGAAATGGATCATTGAGTTTAGGAGATGATATTAGTAGGGTCTGAGAGATAGGGAGTTAGTATTAGAAGGGGTTGTTGTTGATGAATGAACAGGAAGAGAGACTTGATGTGTTGTGTTTATTTATCAGTCTATGTGCCGGTTATTTATAAACTACTGGACTAGAGCTTTCCTGTGTAAAGTTAGTTACCTGTGTGGAGTTAGTACCTGTGTGGAGTTTGTTACCTGTGTAATTTAGATCTATATTCTTGCAACATGGCTGTGGGATACTATCAGTGAAAATTCAATACAAATGTATCTTGTGACAGGTAACTTATAATTTAACTTTTAAAGTTGTAGTATTGTTATCAATGTATGATAGCCATCAACGACCATTCTTTGAATAGAGTTATAACACGATCACCTCCACATTTCTCAATAACTGTTTAAAATCTTGATTTTTAAATTATTTTTACAATGAAAATAAGGTTTGTTTACATTTAGTGGAGTTAGAGAGAAATAAACAATGGGTACGTATTATGCAAGTACCGAAGTTTAGACAGTTAGAATTTCTGAAATGATATGCATATTCAACAATTATTGCTATGATTAAAAGATGACTACAGAGGAAATATTTTTCTGGTTTGTATAGACCAGTTTAAAATCTTATACATGTAGACTATGCTCTTATGGCTAGATCGACGTACAAGGATTTGTCTACCACTTTTATTATTACATGTATCAGCCAGAAAGAGGATTGGGGTTAGAAATATTTTAGAATGAAGAGAATCAGAAATCTCTTCTTTGCCCACGCTTCTGTCGTCATTTGTGTGATAAGACACGACTTCTATTAGATATACAGCATGTACAATGTACATGTAGCCTACATGTTAATTTCTGTACCATGATACTTGGTTAAGTTGACCTAACAAGATTTGTGAGTGGTAATTCAATAGAGTTTAGCTCAACTTTACAATTCTTCCTTGTATTTCTATATTTATATTGATCTCATCATGTAGTAAGGATCGACTATGTCATCTATGCAAGTCATGGATTAGATCCTGGGTATGTAGTTTATCCATAGCATTATTTGTTGTAGTGTTGATCAACAATATGGACTGTCATCTATGCAAATCATGAGTTTGGAACCTGGGTTTCTATGTAACGAGGAGTATAGTCGCCTTACTAATCTCATGGGTTTTCTGGAGCCACTCAGGTTTCATTCTAGCACATGTAACTAAAGACTCCTGCACACCAGCAAATTGGTGAAATGCTGAGTGAATACTCTCTCTATCTACATGTCTCTCTCTCTCTCTCTCTCTCTACAAACATCAATGTTCATATTTATCATTACTATTTTTCAGGTGATTTGAAATGGAAGATGTAGGAATCTGTATTTTCTTGCTGTGGATTATGGGATTTCTGGGAGTTGCGGCCGTGTGTCCTGATTTATGTCAGTGTCACCAGGATTACTTTGTCTACTGTCGCAGAGTGTCACTGACAGACGAAAACTTACGCGACGTCATGAAGGAAATGCCACCTGAAGTTCGACTCCTGGATCTTGGGTCCAATAATCTTCAGAATATCACAGCGACCATATTTTCGCATCTACCTAATCTAGAATATTTGAATCTCTCGGATAATCAAATTTCAAGTATTGACGAATATTCTTTCCGATATCAGACTATGTTACGTGATCTGAATTTAAACAGGAATCGTCTGATGAAATTAAACAGTGCAACATTTCACGGGTTATCGAGACTTAAGGAGTTGGATTTAGGTTCAAATAATATCAGGTCAATTGAATCAGGAGCCTTCTCCGAGTTCACCATACTTCAGCAGTTATATTTACATCAAAATAAACTGGATAATGTTTCTAGTGATATGTTTTTAGGACTGGATAACCTTCACCTGTTGGATCTTTCAGACAATGTGATATCTGTGATCGGTGATGCAAGTTTCCGTCATTTTAAAAAGTTGTGGAAATTGAAATTGAACAATAACCAACTTCGTGAGATTAAATTAGAGAGTTTCGCAGGATTGTCATCAGTGCGGGAACTGGATCTTAGCTACAATCATTTCACCAGTGTCGGCTTTTTATCAACGCTGACATTCCGAGAAACCATCAGTGCCATATATCTATCCCATAATTTATTAAAACATATTCCCGTCAACCTCATCTCCACCATTCGTCGTTTGGAAACTTTAGATTTATCGCATAATTATATATCGTCTGTTTCGCGGGACGCATTCTTCGGATTGTCGTTACTCACCCTAAATCTCTCTAGTAACGCTTTTACGAAAATAGACAGAGGAATGTTTTCTCAGACTCGGAAGATAATGAACCTTGACCTTAGTTTTAACCATATAGAGGTCGTTAAAACAGGTGCGTTGGATAGTTTCCGCGAAACTGTTTATTATTTGAATCTCCACCACAACAAATTAACAGAAGTGAACCCTGGAATGTTCCGAGGAATGAAGAACCTGTTACAACTTGATCTAGACTACAATAATATTGATAATATTTACGAAGGTTCGTTCAGGCAGCTTGTGAAATTAGAGGAATTAAGAATCTCTCATAATAAACTAACGACTATTCGAGACTCCATGTTGAATGGGCCTCCGTATCAATCGATACATCTACTGGATAATCAGATACAAAAATTCAGTGGATTTAAATTCGAAGAACAGAATTCTCCAATCAGAGTTCATTTAAATCTGACTGCCGTAGAGCAAAATGAATCGAGTGTGCGTGTTCAGTGGCCATATCGCGATGGTTCACAAATTTATTGGAAGGTTGCGATAACGTGTGACGATGGACGCAGAAAATGTGTTACGAGACCTCAGGACGAATATCTAGCGCCATATAGAATGGACGCCGTGATTGAAGATTTATCGCCAAACTCAAAGTATTACATTTGTGTTTATCCTGTGTTTATCAACAAAAATATCTTCGTGGACCAATGTGTGCATGTCAGCACACGACCGAGTCGAGCTCTGACCACAGTGACGGTTAAAGAACCATTATCTAAACCTCTCGGTGAAAATGGATGTACTTCATTACAGGGAGTCAGTTACTCTTGGACAATGTTACTTATCATAATCTGTGTATTATCGTGGTCGTCATAGAAACAAGATGTCGATTGTGATGTGTCTGTTGTTGTGTGTTTGATTTCGTCACATGTACATGTACAAAGAAAAATCTATTTTGCATCGCTTTTCTCACATCTTGCCAAAAATAAACTCTCTACATGTACAAATGGAAAACATGGTGTTGCAACCATCCATCCATAATGTTACATGTGTAGTTAAAGGTTTTCAGAAGAAATTATTCTTTTAGTTTAACAATAACTGAAACAATGAGTTGACTAGGGGCTAAACATCATTCACAATCGAGCTTGTGCAATACAAAACGGGAAGGGTATGAACAAAAGCCCAAATTAGTTATTGTTGTAACTAGGTGCTGCTTTCTTAAAATAGATGTAATTAACTTAATAATATTCCAACTATTGAGAGAGTTCTAATAAGTCTTACATGTACAATGTATATCCTATTTTCGATCTTACCCAGTCAAAAAGGCTGCTTTGGTTTAGATTTAAGTTTTCATGAAAAAGTTGTCCAGTTATCCTAATTTACTTTATAATATTTGTCTATTGAGAAAGTTAGTACATGTATGTGGTTTGTCTAATGAGAAAGTTAGTACATATGTATGTAGTTTGTATGAATGTGTATAATTGTTTGTTTAAATCTATGAAAGTGCTAATATATATTATGTGTCAGTGTTACCCGGTATGTATGATGTGTATATTACTGTATTATATATAAATAGAACTCTATCAGATTATCTCAAAATGTTTTTGGACCATGAACAGGGCCCTGGTTTCACAAAGCATTCTCAGACTTAAGTTAAGAAATTATTCAACTTTCAATCACTGTTTATGAGAAATATCGTTGATCAAGAAACACATCAATTTGCACATACATGTACATGTAGTTTCTTATTGATGTATTTGATACATTAAAACAACAAAAGTTTTATAAAGATGTATAATATACGCTGTAGTTGAAATAAGTCGAACAATTTTCACATAGTTTCTTATTGATATACTTGATACATTAAAACAACAAAAGTTTTATAAAGGGCTACAATGTAAGGCAAACAATTTTGAGTAATTCTTAACTTAAGTCTGAGAATGTTCTGTTGAACAAGGAAGGAACAGGGCTCCAATCACTGCTTATCTTGTTCTTGGGGGGGGGGCAACGTTCTTTGAAAAAAGTCTAAAGCTATGCAAATTCAAGTACGATGAACATGAAACTTGGCATGTGTGTTCCTTGGTCAATTGCACTTCAATTTTTTATATGACATTGCAATTCCAAGATGGCTGCGATGATGTCATGCTCGGTTTCTGGTCCTAAGCACACTTGTTTTACATTTTAACTTAGGAATTAAGCAAAGAATAACTTAATATAAAACTCAAGTATTACATGTCACAAGGTTTTTTCATCCATTTTCATCAGCAAAGAATGATTTAAAATGAAACCCAATTTATCATTAGGTTGGGAGAAAACCAATCAGATCATATTTCTTTAAATTTACTTTCAAGAAAATAAATTACGTTATGAAAAGTCAATCATTTGATTGTTATATGATTTGTGAAATTGATGATGAATAATGTTTAAAATTTGAAAAGGTTTTTTTTATATAAAAATTTATTTAAATCACCACATCTTGTAATTATTAAATCATAAATAATTATTATTTATTTGACAGAAACAGAAAAATAAAATCTGTTTTTAAAGTTGAATCTGTTTATTTGCTTTTCATTCTACATGTATGGTCAGTGATGGTTGGTAATAGATATAAAGTTTATTACAAATGATAGCTAAAAAGTAGGAGCCATGGTGGCTAAGTGAGTAAGATGCTAGCTCGCTAGTCTGGAGGTCGCTGGTTCGCTCTCGGTGTTGCCCGAGAAAGTTCATCAGGATTTTCCTGCGTGGTTGCCCCCCCCCCCCTGTCAGTGGTGCAGGATGGAGGGCCTGACAAGAACAGCTGTCTGAAAGATTGGATGTGCACGTAAAAGATCCCTTGGCAGTTGGAATTCAGTAGAAGAGTAGGCCGTAGCGCCACTGTCCAGACAAAATTTCCCTCATAGCACACTGCATGGTGTATGCCCTTTTTCATTAACCCAGTCAGACCAGAACAGAAGAACGTTAAATGCCATTTCATTTCATCTAAAATGTAGACTTCCCCCTAAAAACAAAAGTAGATTCAGTCATTGACATTTAGTATTTGAATTGGACATACACAATTATAGAGAGAGACAGAGAGAAATGAGGTTTCACGTCCACTCGACACAAACTAGGTCATTTTGGGACTAGCATGTTGTTCAATTTTATTTCAATAATTCGCTTGAATGTAGGGGTCTTTAGCAGTGGGAGGGAACCGGAGAAAACCAATGAGATTGGACAGGCGACCCTACTCCTTGTCATGTACCAGCAGGGAATCGAAACCACACCACCTGACTCAATGACAGACCTTATGATTCAACGTTAACCATTCGGCCACCCAACCCCCTACACAATTATATGGAATAAGGTAACTGTTTATTACTGGTCCATGTTTCAAATCAGACTTACTAATACTGAGGTACTGGATACAGTAGCAGATCTAGAAGCTGTGAAGGGGGGGGGGGGGTCCAAATCTAGGGCTCCATACACAATCTCACATCACAATCAATGTCAGCAAAATATGTAATAAAATGCATTTTTAAAAAATGACCACCCAGGTAGAACATAGATCGTATTGCCTATCCTAAATACATTGTAAGTTGTTGGCCGATCGTTATATAGCCAGAAAGCAGTTTTATTCAAGTTGACACAAGTTCATGTCATATGATTGTTATTGATTTCGTTATTGTTACTTGGTCTCATCCCCACCCCACCCTTTAAATCCCCGCCTGTCTGTGTACGGAGGTACCTGGATATGTGTAACTTTATTAGAAGCATGGCCGTTAGAAATCAAAATATGAGCAGGCCATAGCACCGGAATTACAACAAAATCTCCGTCATATCACACTGTATCGTATATCCATGTCTTCATTATCCCAGTCGGTGCAGAAACGTATAGGACGCTAAACCCAATTTCTTTTCAAAATCAATAACAGATGCATTCGTGAAAATTGAGCAAAGTCAAGTCAACTGTCTGGTAGCCTACTTGAGTGATCTATCGTCTGTAGGAAGTTTTTACGTCTAACCCTAACCTGTTGGCTCTAACAGGATAGTGAACGCTTACATGTATTTTAACATCTGGAACCCAAACCAAAAGTCGATCTTCCAATCTTACATGTACGTAGGCCTACATCTTCAAAAAGATGAAATGACTACTGTATAGGCAAGTGCAAACTTTCAAATGGGTCTGACATATTCAGTAGCTCTTGTACCCAAACCAGATGTCGGTCTTCCGATCTTAAATGTACATTCACAAACGTAAACTTCAAATAGATCATATGACCACTGTATGGACAAGTGCAAACTTTCAAATGAGTCTGACATATGCAGTAGCTGAAACAACGTTCCAAAGTCTAAAGGTACAATTAACGGTAGAGTTAAATATAAACAGGGGTGAAGCGGTGAAAGATGAAAGACAAAATGGCTGCTGAGATACGTCATATTACACCATAAACAAGATGTTCATACAATCAGTGGATCCACTCATCTCCTGTTGATCTTTGATATTAGTAGATTTTAAGGTCCATTACAGAACCCTAAAATATAATGATGACCCCTGAAAATATAATGACCTTCCTATGTAAGCTACGGTAGATACACAAAACCTTTATCAACATTCTAAAACCTTCAAGTTTCACTCAAATAACAGTTTTATTGGAGGCCACAGGGTTGCTAACGGGTCGGTCCTTTGATGTTCGCGTTTCGCCGACTTCACTCAAAATTTAACAATGCCTCCTTCGGTTTTTACACCAGTGACCGAAAGACGTTTATAAATCCCCAGGTTATAAAAATGACCCCATAAATTGATGCAGTTGATGTTAGAAACGGGGATTAGAATTAGATAATATTAGCGATAGTGAACGCGCGCGCACTTTTCTTGCCTTCAGCTTCGGAGAAAACGAATGAAAAGACCATCACCCTAACAATCAAGATAACGCCCTTTATCCCCTAATCAGAATTCCTTTATTGCTAATCCTTTTTTAATCATTATTATCCCCGATTAAAAATCTAACACTAATGATTTTATCTGTAAACTACCCCCCTTGATCTCGAATTCTAATTCTCAAAATAGGACCCAAGAGAGATCGGAGCTTGTTGTGTTAGAATTTGTAACAAAACCTCATCCAATTCTTCTATTATTAATGTGGGACAAAATTCTCTTGATCGGATTTAGATTCAGTTTTTCAAGTGTTGTCGGTCATTTTTTTTAAGATCACTGGACAATGAACATTTTAGTTCAAAGAGAATAATTTTGATTTGTAAAAAGTGGTGGGGTTGGATGGCCGAATAGTTAGCATGTGCGCGGTATCATACGGTCTGTCATTGAATCAACTGGCGGGTTTTTCGATTACCCGGTTGTACGTGACAAGGAGTAGGGTCGCCTGTCCAACCTCGTTGGGTTTTTTCCGGGTCCTCTGGTTTCCTCCCACTAATAAAGACCCATACGCACAAGCGAATTATTGAAATAAAATTCAACCATGTGGTAGTCCCGAAATAACCTGGTTTGTGTCGAGTGGACGTTAAACCCAATTTCTCTCTGTCTGTAAAAAGTGTTTTTACGATATCGTTTACTTCAGTAGTTGGTCCACACGTCGTGGCCATTTTAGATGGTCCGACCCTTTATTGCGATTTGATGAGGGACGCTACCTTTGTCATCTGATGAGAGGACTGTCATCGGTAACAAAGGGGAGAGGAGAAAATAAATCGTTAAACCTTATTGAATTAAGGACCGACTGTTATACATATCCCAATCTGACCTTGATAACCCTTTATATCAATTTGTAAGTCAAAGGGGAGGCATGTAAATTAATTTTAAAAGGGAGGGTCAGTTTTGAAAGAGTGTCCGGCTACGAAAAACTGTATAATTCTGAAGTTTGTTTCGGCTATTCAGAAGGTTTGAAGTCCTAAGAAAGAGAACGTTTACCACATGTTTTATTGGAGCGCATTACAATAGGTCCGGTTTATAACAAAAATTCTACACAGAAAAATAGAAGCTTATGCCAATTTCCCGGTGACCATTTTAAGAAAGTCTAAAGAGATATGTTATCAATCCAAATTGAGTTGGGTATAGAGAATAACAATTTATTTATGTGTTTATATCAGAAAGCTCAAAAGACAATCACACCGACAAAAATGAAATGTAATGAAATGGGGTTTAACGTCCTACTGTTCTGCTTCAAACTGGGCTAATGAAGTCGGGCATACGTCATACAGTGTGCTATGAGCTGGGAAATTTTGCCCGGACAGCGGCATTGCGACCTACTCTTATATCTAACTCCAACTGTGAAGGGATCTTTTAATGCACGCAAATGTGGACCTCGGTTTTTCGTCCCATCCGAACGACTAGGCAGCTGTCCTTGTCAGGCCCTCCGTCCTGCATCACTGACAAGGGGAAACCACGCCGGAATGCAACTGAAACCCCAAATAAAATATCCACCCACACTTTTTTGTGTCTTTTGTAAAATGTGTTAAAATGACTTAGGCAGTATTTGGTTTAGATTGGCAATTTACACTGTATCGTAATTTCTTGATGAACTATCGTCCTAAACCGAGACCATCAGAGATTTAAATTAACGAACGTAAATCTTCAAATATTTCACAATATTGACTCAAGAACAGAAGCT